AAAAATAAGAAACATGAATTTTTGAGAAAGAAATGGGGAAAGGGGAAATACAGGAATATATATGCTTATAAATCTTTTAAAGGCAAATATTCAAGTAAAAGGAAATCCTATCAGTGTAAATGGTTTAAATTCTTTGGAGGAACAGTGTTTAATAACACATTACATTAGCAGTAGTAGTGTTTGTTTCTAGTTGGAAATAAGTCAAAATTTTATGTCTCCTGAAAAAAGAATTGTTTCATGGGAAATCTTATTTCTATGCTGAGGCCTAGCTGCAGGCAACATAAAATGGTATTCCACGGGAAATGGAGTACAAGTGACTTGAAAGTCTGCAAATAATCTAATCTACAAGCTCCAACCAGACCAGCACTAGCCAACAGTAGCCCGACCAACGCGAAGGGCATGCCAAGGTCCTGGCTCTTTGGAAGCAAGAGATCTGATACAATTAGGCCTCAAGTGCACCGAGCTCAGGGAGGCAGAAGGTGAGAGGAAGTTCAAATTCTCGCGGTCCTGAGCAGGGGACACACTCTTCCGCTGGCCGAACGGTCTAAGGCAGAAAGCTCCAGAACCAAGGAGACAGACGGAGCCTGGCAGGCTGCTGAGAGAAAAGATGGGCGGGCCGAGCGGAAATCGGCACCGCCTACAGCACGTGCCAGGGCCACGTACCGCCCGCGCTAGGAAACGTAGAGAGCGGGGACAGATCACCAAGAAAACGGGGGAAGTACCGCCCCTGCGCGCCGGAATGTAACGGAAGTGGCGGGGCTGGCGTTACCTCCACCCATTGAGTCTCGGTGTCCCCTTCGGCTGGGCGTATTTGCAGGCGGGCGTGCAGGCACTGCTGCAGAAGTGCCCGGGCCTGAGGAATCCGGCCGCTGTCAGCCATAGTTCGAACCCTCGTGGCAGTCCAACAGGTTCAGGCACCGAGCCGCTCAAGCTTCTCCTCCAGCGCGCGGGGAGGACGTGGCGCATCAAGGCGGAGGGACGTCCTTATCGCCCGTGGAGCCACCCCTGGAGGGGCGGGGCCTCTGCCTGGCTCTAGGGTGACCCGGATGTGCTGCATTCAAAGACAAAGACCTGACTCCTACGCTGAGCCTCTCCAACTTTGTAGAAAGCGCCCAGTGTATGCTTTAAACGTGTGAGAAGACTCACTGGCCCTCTTCCCTACGCACCATTTAAAGACACATTTTTCAGTTCAAAGAGTTTACGTTTTCAGACACTGAGAAATTTTAAATCTGCTTAAGTCTATGTTATGCCCATTATAAAGGTAGGTAAATTGAGTGAACCAACTGAATCACAAAACAACCAGAGATGAAACTACAAGCCATGTCTTTAAAATTTTCCCGTATTCTAACGATGCCTCCTTTATCAGGAATGCTGTAAATCATTCTGATCCAGTAGTTATGGAAAGATGTTGGTATGCTATGTGAATGCACATTTGGAGTTCAATTTTTTGGAAAATATCCTCACTAAAACTATTCTTATCCAAGAAAGTGTGTCATTGTTAATAAATATTTTAACCTGAAAAAGAAAACAACATAGTCCGATGCACATAATGATAATTTTGGGGGGTTTCCTCTAAGTACAAATTAGAATGTAAATAAAATTAAACAAAGGCTTGATCTTCTTTCCCACACAACGTATTTCTTGAACATGCATCAGATTAGCATTATTTTTCTATGGGCTTGGAGGGTTTAGATGAGGAATAATAGTGTTACCATGATTGCATTACTCAGGTCATTGATTTGGGCTCAGTTGGCACAATATGCCTATACATTCGGGTCTGTTGTCTTAGAAGATGACATCACTGACAGTGTTGCTACCCATATAAAGTAGTATGACTGAAGAAAATAATCCATGCATAATCAATGGTCTTTTCTACACAAAATGGAAGCTGCCTGTTTGCTGGTTATCTAAAGCAGGCTGCTTTACACTTTTTGCAAAAACAAAAAGCAAAAACTCTCATGATCTCTGCTGCATTGCAGGGGTTCCTGTGTTTGTTGACATTTGTCTGCAAAGCGCAGACAAGTTGCATTGTTTTTGCCTTTATGTCGTTATAACTATTGAGTCTCTTTTTTCTTCACTCCCAGACTCAAGTTTTACAGGACTGTAAGGAACTTTAACATAAAGGCCTTTAGTCATGACCCAGATGTAAGAGAGGACTAAGATGTCGATTTGTATGTAAGTATGGGAGATAGCAAGTTCCCTTGAAAATAGGATATGTGGCTCCCAGAGATCTTTCCGCGGTGAAGGGACTTTAGCAAATTGGTAAATCCTTCCTGTGAATAGGTGGAGTCTGGTTGGTAATGGTTATCCTTTCAAGAATCACCAGTTGCTTTAAACCTTCTGTTAGGTGAGAATCTCTTGGACACTGCTGCAGGTAGTAATAGGTTGTGACTCCCTTATTCTCTCCTTACACCTGCAGAGGGCAGTAGAGAGTAGGCACTAAACTATTCCTTTCTGTATTGCATCCAGTCTCATTCTACAAAGAATTCAAGAAGGAAAGACATACATACAATAAAATAGCAAAATGTGAATAAACATAAAGCACTTGGAGGAAGGAAAATAGACTTTTATCAGTAAGTCCCAGTAGGGGAAATTGAAAACAAATAGGTAAACACACTGGTCCTTGCCTAGAGTGCTGAGAGTATACAGTAAGCAGCAAAGTTTTCACAGCTACATTACTTTTTGTTGTAAAACAATTATATCCATTGTCAATCAAGAAGAAGAAGCTGTAAAGCAGCCAAAGTATTTATTTTGGGGTATTAGGGATTACAGTCCTGGGGACGGAGTGGACTGGAATTGAAAGCGTGTTCGGAACTGTAAGTGGAAAGCACAGGCTCACAAAGGCAAAGCCCATAAGCTTATATGACTTCTTTGATTGAATTAGGATTGGTGCTGACAGTTAAACTATCTAATAAACAATTGGCTATTTAGCTGATACATGTTACATTATCTCTATTTTAGTCCCAAGTAGAAGGAGGCATTCTGGAAGGTAGTGAAGGTGCAATTGACAAAAGTCAAAAGTCCAAGGTGTTCCAAAAATTGAAACCGAGGTCTATGGGCCTTGCTTCTCCAGTATCCTCCTGACCCTATTTTTGAAGGACTCTCTTAGCAATGTTTATTTAACTTTGGAATTTTCTTTCACACTATCATATGTAATGTTGAGGTAGAGCACATTTACGATTTCCTTGAGGTTAGAAGTAAAAGATGAAGTGCGGTATTAAGATGGCTCTAGAGGAGGATGGTGGTTGAATAGGAACACAAGAGAGCTTTGCCTGTGAGTATGCAAGAAATCACTGTCTGAGCAGGAATAGTTCTCAAACTGTTGTAGTGCTAAAAGGGGACTGTATGGTTAGTGGGTTATGTAGGAATGCATTCTAGGCCCTCTGAGATGTGACAAGAATTGATTTAGAGTTTTTTAAGTTGTTTGATTCATTCACATTGGCTGCCCCAAATTCAAAAGTATTTCACAAACATGAAAAATTTGAGAACTACTTCTCAAAGATCCTTTATAGTTGATGCTAAGCTTCTTGATGTGAAAGAGGAAAGGAAAGAGAGAGGAACTGTAACCTGTTTCATAGTTCTCAAAATAAGCAGAGCTTTCCCTAAGATTCAGCTTTAGAATGAGCCTCTTACCTGAGCCTCTTACCTCTTTACCTAGGCGTATGTTCATCAGGAGAAGTGCAACTGAAAGAGGTAGGTGTTTTAATCTTACAGAGGCTGGAAGAAATCTAGCCCCCCACCACTTGAAAGTTCAGGGATTTATTTTTTTTCAGTAGCTAGGGAGGTGATCAAGTTCTGAGAAATTGGTTCATACAAAAATAAATGCACATGAATTGGGATAGAACTAGAATACTTACTTATTCATTTATAATAAGAAATATTGCTGTGACATAGAGTGGAAATTCTCACATAGGGCATGATCAACACATTTTCCCTTTTGTTCAAGCATTTATACTAGGTTATATTCAAAAGTCTCTTTATTAATTTACTATGAGAGATAGTCACTCTTCTACCAGGGCATGGGAAACTGAGGTTTGAAAGACCCATGTGGATTCTGGCTTTAAGACACTTACCACATGCATTAAGACTGTGAGGAAAGAGGAAACAAACATATTTAAGTAGTGCCTGAAACAAAAAGGCCAAAGGCAAATGCTCCAAACTGCAATCACATATTTTGTCATGGAGCCTCTTCTTACACAGGCAGAAACTGAGGTCAGGAGTGTTAATCTAGTTGAAGCTCCTCTATATGGAAATATGAGGACTGGGAAAATGATAGTTCCCCACCTAAAAGCTGAGTCTATCTTTAACATGAGTAGTTTGTATAGCCAGGTAGGGGGTGGAGTTTGGAACCTGGTATTGATTGTTCCTTTGTTCAATTTGCTTTTTTAAATTCTTATTTTATTACTGCACCATTTGCTGGTATGTTGCCTAGGAAACTTAATATTGCAAGTGCTTTTAACTCTAAGGCAATGATGTATATCTGGCAATCTGTAGCCCCTGGTAGGCTGATAAATTATCTTGATCTTTGGGTTATTTTTCAGTCTGTAGTGATGTGATAACTTAGCAAAGTATTGTATAACCTTTTGAATATTTGTATACTTCTGTTAGTCATTTTGTCAAGTCATGCCTGGCTGTTGTAAGGGCTTTTTATAATTTGGACACCTACATTCTTTGTAGGAAAAAAAAAAAAAAACTGAAAGATTTTGAATGGGCAGAGGAGATTCCTAGATATCCTTTTCAAGGAATGCTGGAGCCTCTGGGGATTACTTTGGTCCTATCGGGCTATTTTGGATTTGTCTTAGTCTAGGCTGTCTTACAGCTCTTTAGAGATAGAGTTGGTTTGTTAAACATGAATAGTAAATAAATCATTCCTGTCCATAAAAATGTAAAATTTGATTATTACTCTATGGATATTGACTGATTTTGTCAGTTTTGCATACTCTTGTAAATCCATTTTAGCATTCTTTATCTGACTATAAATGTATAGCACCTTGAATTTTCTCTCTTTTGAAAATAAACTTTAAATTTTACAATAGATTTAGATTTATAGAAAAGATGCAGAAATAGTACAGAATTCTTATATACCCCCTCACCCAATTTCCCCTTTTATCAACATCTCAAATGACTATGGTATGTTTGTTACAACTAAAGGAACCAGCACTGGTACATTAATTAAACTCCATACTTTTTACTAAATCCTTTTTCTGGAATCCTTCCAGGATACCATGTTACATTTAGTCATGATGTTTCTTCAGGCTGTGGCTGTTTCTCAGATTTTCCTTGTTTTTGATGACCTCAGCAGTTTTGAGGAATACTGGTCACCTACAGTGTACGATGTTCCTATATTGAATTTTATATTTTTCTTATGATTGGACCAAGGTTATGGGTTTTTGAATGAGCATCACAGAAGTGAAGTGACATTCTTATTACATCATATCAAGGATACATGCTGACAACATGTCTTTTTGCTGATGATCTTAACCTTGATCTCCTGGCTAAGGTGGAGTTTGCCAAGTTTCTCCAGTATTAAGTTACACGTTCTTCTCCCTTCCACAATGTTCTCTTTGGAAGCAAATAACTAAACACAGCCCAAATTCAAGGGGTGGTGTTACTGTCCACCTTTTTAAGTGGGGAGTATCTGCATAAATTATTTGGAATTCTGCATACAGGACATTTGAGCTCTCTTTTGAACTGGTTGTAATATATTACTGGTTTCTTCCTTACTGAGTTAAATATGAATGAAATGAAAATCTTTGACACATGTCTATTTTATATTTGTATGACAGTTGTGATTTTACTCTTTTAAAAATTATCCTCTCATATCCTCCTACCAAGAAATGTTGTGAGAATTATCATTTATACAGTTCTTTGACAACCATG